AAGCGTAACCGACTCCTTACCATAGAATCTCCGAACCAGTGCCAATTTTAGGTTCCTAGTTCCTTCAATACTAGGTGGCGACTCCAAACTCGCAAATAGTCTTAAAGATAAAATAAAGATCCGAAACTAGTGATATCACCGGATAGATTTTTTTTATGGGAGTCTCGTCCGACGTCGGGTAGCGACAATACGAAAACTAATGAACAATCAAGCATGTTTATAGGCTTTAAGATTAGGAAGAGAATTAGAAAGAGTTAAAAAAAATTTCATGAAAAGTTGCACCAACCTTTCAATTCCGGTATCATCGTACATGATAATGGTGAATTGAATCTCATTAAATAATATGATTAGTGGTGGTAATAAAAACGATCATAGACATTCATTATTTCATAAGACTTCTCCTTGAATGTTCACCGTACAAGAAACATATCTTCTTAAAACCTTATTAGAAAAAAACCCGAGTGAAAAAAAAATCTAATGCAAAAAAAAATATAATATTCCTTGTACACATTAATTTTCATATCAAGCCTCCTAATTGAAAGCTTTATTTAAGATTTTTAAGATGATGCATTCCAATCTTGTGAATCGTTTTTTTAAAAATTATGATAGCACCACCTATTTATGATGAATGGCTTCATGATGATGCTAAACTTTGCCATCTTTTAATAATTTTTATTCTATTAAAATTTATCAATTTATTGATCTCAAAGAAAGCTCAATAATGATGTTTGGTAGGAGAAAGAGAGACTAAATTGAAGAATCTTTACTTGAGCAACAAAAATTAAGTACTCTTTCAAAATTTATGAAAGTTTTGTGGTCTTGAATGTCTTTGGTTATGAATTGAAAAATCCATGAATATTTTATGGGCAAGGACCTTATATAATTGTTAAACCTAAAAGTCAGGAGCATCCAAGGCCTAATGATGTTGGATAAGCGCTTAAAGGATATAAAACAACAATGAAGGGGAAGTGTCATGTCAAATTTTCTATTAATAATAGTTACGAAGATGAAATATGGTGTAATATCATTCCAATAGATGCATGTCATGTTTCGTGTATAAATGTTAAACTCATTAGTTATTAAATAACTCTTTTAAATTGAAATAGTAATTATAACTTGGAAATTCATTTCCTGTTTTAACTCGATCCATCCCATAGAAATCATTTTTTTAAAACATTTCTGAAAATATATTTACGAAGACAACTTTTTTTGAATGAAAACATATTATATAATAATTATCCCAAAACCATTTAAAGTCTAGACCCATTTTCATTTGATCAAATTCCTTTTATTACTATTTCGGATAAATATACTAATGGTGAAATAATTCATTTAGTCTTTATTAATTTGCAAACCAACTTAACATGAACTTCCTTATTACATACATAATAATTCCATCAACCTTTAAATTTCTAAAGTCATTTTATAACTTTATAAGTGAAGAAACTTATGGATTGGGATCCATTTAAATACCTTAGTTAAAATCTCCATTTAAGCTTATTGGAAGCTCAATTGGGTTTTACAAGTGATTAAAACCATCATTTAATCATCAAACTAATTAACTAATTAAGTTCTATTTAAGTCATCTAACCATCAAATCATTTCATATATCCTTTGCTTGATACCATTTAACTAATCTTTAAGACACACACACACACACACACACACACAATTCCCCATATTAATTCAAGACACAAAAGTCGGTTACTTAACATTTACATACTTATTTATTTATTTGCCGAGCATGTTAGCACTTAATTTTTACCCCAAGTAATTTAATTTATTTATGAGTTAAAAATAATACAAAAAAGAAAAAAGAAAAAAAAGAGTTATTTGGAAAAAAGGTAATTTTGGGTACTATTGAAGAAAATTAAAAGCAAAACTCTTGATTGATTTCAATTAAGACATGTAATTAAAATGCAAGCAAATAAAATTATACCAAAATAAAAAATATAAGAAACCAAGGACCAAAAATAATGTTTGTCCAAAATCTTAATTTTTTCCTATAAATACCCAATCTCTTTAGTCATTTAAGCAGAACATGTATCCCAAAGAAACAAACAAAAAACTAGCCAAACGACCCCTAAGGAACCCCAAAAACCCAAATGATTAATCGGGTTACTCGCCAAACCCGTCAAAATTCTCCTCTTCAATCGGCTACCCTCCGGTTGATTTTGACTCCAATCGCCACCACCAACGAATAGTCTATCTCCGGATCGATCCATCCCTACCGGTTAGAAGTGGAAAGGACGTTGGAGGAGGGAGAAATCGGAGATAGAACCACCATAACCCGACATGTTTGACAACACTGGCGAATCTTGTGATTTTGGCTAAACCACCAACTACTACCACCATAGATGTGGTTTTTCAACTCCTCCGAGTAATTCCCTTTTGGAGTCATGATCAAAAGTCATCGAAAAATGAACTAATCGATGACGACTCATTTTCTAATTTATTTCATGCAATCCAAAAAAATGATCGATCAAGGCCGAATTAAACCTCTTAAACAACACAAAAACACTCCCCTCATCCTCATGAATTAATTGGTGTCCTCAAAATCCCTTAAAAGCACCATAATCGTCTTCTAGAAGAGGAAGAGGTCCGACCAAAAATTTAGAGCCTTCAATCTCCTTCTTGGCCAACATAGCCTTCTCTCTCGACTCTTTGGCTTTAGTAACTTTTCGTTTATTTATAAGAACAATAAGGACAATAAAAGATACCTAAATCATCAAATGTAAACTCAAGCTGCGCACACTTTTCATGAATAGAAACTAGACAATTAGGCACATAGCGAACCAACAATTTCCCACCCCCATCTCATGCTACACATGCCTCTACCTCCATCCAATCTACAGAAGGCCTACCTTTCTCTCTAACGTTAGCGCCATTACTAAAATCACTAGCCGCATTATCATTGTCATCATTAATTTTTCTTGATGTGTCACTAGAATTAGCATGATCATCATCATCCTGCGTGTATCCCATGATTTATTGTCATGTTAATTAAAATAAAAATTGGGAAAAATAAAAAGAAAAGCAGAGAGAGAGAGAATGCTGGATTGGAGAGAGGAAATGACCTAAGAGTGGTGGATGAGGGAGGTTTCTGAGGTGATCTTGATAAGCGTCACGTCGTTGTAGCATATATTAGTTAGCTGGATAAGTATTTCTTAAGATCATCTGGTTAAAGTAACATTTCTAAGATCATTCGGAGAACAATTTAGTATCGATTGACACGTAAGTTACGTAAGCTAGACCGAAAATATTTTTACTATCGAAAAAAATATATATTAACTACTTGAATATTCTATAATATAAGGTGATTTGATTTTAATTTTATAACTATTATAAAAATAGAGTATTGTGCTAATTGATATATTTATTTTTACATTATGAATCATTTAATTATTAAATGAAAACACATTTTATATTATTAGTAAGCGCTAGCTCTACAGTAACAATCTCTTTTTCATTTTTATTTTTTACAATAAGAAATATTATCAGACCGACTTATACGTTCGAGACTAAATTTTTTAAAAATGTATTTTCTGTATTGATTTATTATATTAAAAAAATTAATAACTTATCTTAAATGCTGATATGAAAGATTTGAATCCATAAAATATATATATATATATATACATATTAACAATAACATTATCATTATCATTAACCACGAGGACAACTCTCTATAGCTCTTCTTGAATCTTGTTAGGTTCGAATCTTCAAGACGTTCTTCGATGAAAATGGAGATGATCATTGATTAATTACATTCCAAGTTGCTGTGTAAATTAAATAAACATGAGATAAAAATATCTTACTTTATTACAATATTAAAAGAATTAGTTGCAAAATTTGAAATCTGAAATTGAAAAACTGATAATCCATTATAACTACCTAACTTGGTTAAAAAAATAACAATAAACTACGGCTTTTTGAAACTTCAATATGTGATCCCTAATTTATATAAAATCAAACAAACCTTTTTTTATACCGAAATTGCTAATTGATTTCATTAAAAAAGGGATAAAACTCAGAAATACAATAAAACAATATAAGCCCAACCTATAAAACATTCAGAATCTCAAAAAAAAAAATTATATATATTATTATTATAATTATTTACATCCAAGATGGACCAAATTCAAATAGGACGGAAGGGGCTATTGTGTAATTAGAAAAAGGAAAAAAAAATATCAAGGGCTTGGAAACTTGTGACATTATGGACGAAGAGAGCCTTCTTTACTTCAGGATGATCAACTTTTGGAAATGCTGCTTTCAAACATTTCCTTTATTCTTGCTTATCAAAGGAAAATAAAAAAAAGGATATCTTGTGGTTCTTTTTTCTTGTCTTCCACTATAGAATTCTCTTTTTCCTCTGAACCAAGTAGGGCATCATTTACAATAAAATCACACGGATGGGTACTGTGTGTGATTCGTGATTGGACCTGGTAATCTATTATTGTCCTGTCAGCAGAAACGAGGGACCTAATCTCTGCTCTTTGTGATCCTCAGTGTGTATGGATAGTGCAAGCAATCATGTCCTAGGAAGAAAGACTTTACAATTCACCTCGGCTTTGTTTCCTAAGCCCACAATTTGATCCATAAAAGCCTTAATGTTACTGCTGCCCTTGGAAAATCACACAGCGTATGATTAAGAGTTTCTAATTTAAAGCCCTTCCACAACTATTCTGCTAGCAAAGTATGGGATCAAAAGTACTAAGATCTCCTACCTGATTGAGAGGAAATGTACATGCAATATAGAGATTTTCATATATACATGATCTTGATCACGATATACAACACACTGTTGAGGTCACAATATCACCTCAAAAGAGTAACTCGGCCTAGTCAATTCTAACTCAAGTGTATTACTCTGTTCATTCCAACTTTCTTTGATGGCGAAACAAGAGGGGTACAAGAGTTTTAACTGGCCAAACAAAATAAAGATTCAGATTAAAACTCTGACCTGTGCTACTTTCAAATTTCCGTTTTGAGCCACATTATTTAGATGTAATCTTTGAAGGTGTACATGATGCAGCCCTATGCTTGATGCTGTTCATGCTCAGCTCCATACTTCTTTGAACCATGTCTTGTAGTAACCTCTTGGCAGTTTCAGCAGCTTTATCTGAGCCATCAACTCGTGTAGCAATGTCGTAGACAATTCTCTCCAACACTGACGATGGCAATCTCTTCTCCTGAGGCGTATCTCTGAGCAAGTCTAAGAGAGTACGAGCTCTATCTTGAGCTTTAGAGGTCCCTTCCACTGTCAGTCGCAGAAGACCTGGGATTGCACCCTCTTTAAGAATTAGTTCCCTGTACTTTTCTCGGCAGCTCTGGCACAGAGAGAGCAAAGCTCCAACAGCATGTTCTGTACTAACAAGTGATCCATCTTCAACCGTTTCTACTAATGTTAAAATCGCGCCATCTAAGTCTGTGATGGCAATTCGTCCTTCTTCAGAGTTCGAGAGGATTTCGAGCAGGGCTGTAGCTTTCTCAGCAAACTTAGAATATTTCTTGCATTCTTTCAGGAGTTTGATGAGAGGGGAAACTGCTTTAGCATCCACAATAGGATGTGTATTCTCTGCACAGGTGGAGAGGTTGTGTAGGACTGTGACAGCATCAACTTTCCCTTGAACACTCCCAGAGCTGAGGATCTGAACCAGAAGGGGTGCAGCTCCTGAAGCTGCAATGATAGGTTTGTTAGGTCCAGCAGCTGAGAGTGTCAAAATTGAAGCAGCAGCTAATTCCCTTAAACTACCATTCTGCAACTTGAGAAGTTCCACAAGTGGGGGGACAGCACCAGCTGTCACTATCTTCACCTTATTTCTGGTAAACAAAACAAACGAGAAGGGAGATACAATGACTGCATATCTAAATGTCTGCTAAAGTAAAGGTAAAACAGTCAATGAAGTCAGAATGAATAAGGAAGCACATGCACGATGCATTTCCCAAAGTAAGGAATTATCACATGCAAGAAAAATGGAGAACAAAATCAGGAGAATATCTAATTATCATCAGCAGAAGTAATATTTTATCACAGCTTACCATAACTGACTCAAATTTTCTTTGGCCAGAGAAGGGGCACTTAGTTCGACAGGGCAAAGGAGAAAAGGGTGCATTATGCAAGTGTGCAACTGAACTCCGCTCAACTTTCACTCAAAGAACTCATGACCTAGTTCATTAGACATAAAATTGCTCTCTTGGTCCAGAAGCAAATGGTATTGTGAATTAAAAAGGCAAAAAAAAAAAAAAAGAGTGAATAATCTAAGTGGAAAAGAATTGAATTTTAACCACAACCAATCCCCAACGAAAACCAACAAAAAACAGAACCAATAAAGCCCTCTCCGCTGACATTCCTTCTCCACACATACTAATTAGTATATTAAAACAGTGCAATGTCAGTCCTCCATGGAAACACCAATTGCACAGAACACAACAGGAAAGAAAAGACATTTAATTTGCTAATATCTTCGAATTTTCTCCATTTTGGACCACGAAAAACTCAGCTTAACCACCCCCCCCCCCCCCAACATCATAAGACCCCGATACTACTAATCAACCAACACATTCAATTCTTGCATTAGCTCCAAAATTCACGATCACAACAGCAGATATATCAAGCATAGCTCTCACCCTTGATTCTTCATTTCTTCATATATCTATAGTTGTCATTAAAATATTCAATCATTCACAAATCAACTAATTTACTATTAAAAGGAAAGAAAAGGAAAGGAAAGGCCTCAACTTTAATGGAAAACAGACATAAAAAAAAAAAATTAAACGAGAAAAAAGGAAGCGGGTAAGAGACAGAAAGAAACGACATACCGTTCATTCCTAACAGCGAGATTGAGGAGGGCAAGAAGAGAGGCATGACGGGCATCAAAATTGGAAGAGAGAAGCATAAAAATGAGAGGCTGAATGACCCCAGAAGCTGCAAATTTGGAGCGAGCCTTTGCAGATGATTTCCTGACGAGCTTCCTTATATCTCTGGCTGCTTCTATTTGGCTTTTGAGATCTCCATTCATTAGTCTCTCCGATAATTCTACTATCTGGGTTTGCTTCCTCTGGTTCCATGCCTCTTCGTCTTGGTTACTTGATACTGATACTGTTACTGCTGTTGAACTTGTTACTGTTGTCTCCTCTTCTTCCTCTTCTTCGCCCATTGTTGTTGTATGTGACTGTGATAGAGGACAAGGTTTTCTTTTTCTTGCTTTCGTTTATCTTTTTGGGTAATTAAGGTTTTGGTCATGTCTGAAACGACCTGTAGTAAAGAAATCCTTTCTTTCTAATATAGCAGGATAAGCCATGTCACGTTGTCCCCCTTGAAAAGTCAAACATATAACCGAAGGGATGACTTGTAGTTAAAAAAATTTGTTGCGTTTAAAAAAACAAATTATTAAATTATTTTAAATATATATATATATAAGTTGGGTGTGCTTTTAAAATCATTGGAAAATAGATTTAGATCCGATTAATAGGCAAATAGATTTAAAAATACTTTTATCGTCAAATAAAAAAATAATCTTACATAATATTATTAGAACAAATTAATTTTTGGAGTTGTAGGAATAATAATAAATTCATATGTTGTGTAAAAGCAATGGAAAAAAAAAATCAAATCCATTCTCTAATTTAATACACAATCTTGTGTATATATAAGATAACATAGCTAGCTCACAAAAAACTGATTTGATCTACTAATTTGTGTTATACTATACAAATCATTGGTAAGAAGGTAGTGTTGTACAAGAGTGTTCAAAATCATGGCGATTTTGTGACATGCAAGCAGAACCTTCCCAGTCTATTAAAAGCCCTAGAGATTAGTCCACAGATCAGAACATCATTATTATTATTCACTCGTTCGGCTTAGCTTTCGCTGATCACTGTAAGTGATGGCTGCCATGCCACAGAAGTTCGAGGTCTCCTCTTTCGTCCATGGGATTCAGAAACACTACTTGAGTTTTTTAAGGAACTGTCCTCCACCTTATTTCCTTTCTTCTCAGAATTAGTGGCATAACCTGCTGCCTTGTGCTTGGCATCAATCCATGCAAATCTTACATGCTTTTTAACTCCAGTTTTCTTCCTTAGATCGCTTCTGAAGGAACAACTCCCGTCTCTTGAAACACTAGCGTCACGCTGTGAGAAGAATGAACTGCTGGAAACATCGGTATTTTGGCCCGAGACCGTGTCAACTGAGGTATCATTTGAAGCCTGTGAAATAAAAGAAACTGATGATAATTCTTTGCTTGGTTTTCTACTCTTTCGTCGAAGCTTCTTCACTGTATGATGAGGAACAAGAAAGAATTTCTGTCCTGGAGTCAGGATTTTCTCTGGCCGGACCACTGAATCCCATGGCCTCCTGAAAACCTCTGGCTTAGCTAATGCATGAGAGGGATATTTCTCCAAGATCCTGGCTGCAGGTATTGCCATATAATAGCATTCTATTCTTCCACCAGCATGGATAATCTTCAAGGCAGAGGAAGCAATCTCTGGCTCTTGTGGTGTTGCAGGGTTTGCCCGCTTAGGGGGTTCCCCGCGTGCAAAAGGTGAGAGTTTATGGACTTTCAGTAACTTGTCAAGCATGTTGACAAAGCTTCAGCTAGACGCTGTAACTTGGGCCTTAGAATTGAACTATCCTTTCTTCACTCTCCTTTTATGGTGTAGCCTTGGAACATCCGATAGGTTCGAGAGACCACAGCTGCGTTCAATCTTTCAAGGCTGGCGCTGGGGTCAAACTTCAAAAGATCAGAAATTTGAGTGGAAGATAACATCAATGCTAGGATCCAAAGGAGGGTCCGAGGCAGGCCAAAGTTTGCACTCTAGCTTTTGTTGAGGTATCTCAAATCTTGCCACCTGCCTCAGCGCTGGCTAGTCTCAAAAGAATTACGAACTTCCATAGACCATAGCACACACCAAGGCCAGACCATGAAACAGCACCAACCGCTCTCGAAGCTATCACTAAGTACTTCATCTAGACCGAACAAACCCCATGCCCAAAAATATCAGGATCGTTGCTGATACATATGAGATTAACTCATCCATGCATAGTTCAAGATAGCCAAATTTTTCATTCCCGCAAAGGCTAACCTGCCAACCACCAGTACAAGGTTGCCCGACTAAGTTAAATTGGGCTGTGCTTTAGAACATTCATAGCAAAAGGGTCTAAAGATTTCCAAGTCATGATTCAATCAAACGACAAATGCGTTTGGTAAGAGCCAACTAGTTATTAGCTCAATTGGTACAAAGACAAAGTCAATAGTCTCTCTCTGAACCGAAAAATGAAAAACACATTTGCTAAGAAATTAATATAACTAAACCTCTTCCCTCCACCAACAGTGACAAATTTCTTGGTTGAAACAAAGTTGAGCAAAAGATGGTCGCACTGCCCTTCCACCAAGCATGAAAAAATGATCTTGTGGAATTCCACTCTACTGGAAAGAAGAATTCTCGTAGAAATCCACTGTTACTGGATAGAGGCAAGAATTCTGCCTTCAAATTGATATCAGTTTCTACAAGACAAGTATACCAACATTCTCACCATGAAACTTCCTCCCTCTTTGGAAAAGGCAGTTCAAGATATATCCAGTCAATTAATTTAAAACAATAGAATGTTCCCTTTTTTCTTATACCAATTACAACAGTTCAGTACATCCTTTTCTTGCTATCAAAATTCACTTTACATATAAGACAGCGGAAAGACGAGAAAAAAGGAATTGGAACGATCCTCCACCAGCCTATGTCTTACCTTCCAGAGCCCTAAAGAAACCTCGACATAAGAAAGAATTAGAAAAGATTCTCACCACTCAACAATAAAACCCTAAAAAATAGTTCAAAGAGTTCAAAAGAAAATGGGGAGATAAAGGCTTGAAACTATAACACGGAAAAATGGTAACACCATATGGCAGCAACAAAAAAAAAAAAAAAAGGACCTGCACAGCCTACCTCCACTAACTTAAAATGGTCAAATATCAGTTACAAGCGAACTGCACCTTTATGCGCTCAATCCAAGCAATTAGACGATACTATTGGCAGATTTCCATCCCCCTTTTTAAAGATTTACACTCAAATCCAGCCAATGTTGTATTATCTAGCTGTCGATCTCCATCCAAACTTGTTGGAGTTCCCAAAAAATATATCCCAAGATTGGACTTGTTTCACTGGTATACTAAGTGAAAAATTTTTTCCATGCTTCAGTAGTTGCTAGGCCAGTTGATCTGTTGGTGCTGAGGCTGCTGGTAAACATTGGCCCCAGGTCCTACCATATCAACAGCTCCACCCATGGCCTGTGACTGTTGCAGAAGTGGGTGAACGGTTGCTGCAGTTGCTGGTTGCCCAGGGTGATAGATATTGGTAAAGGTGCCATGGGCAGCCTGAGTTGGTGCAAAAGTCACATGCTGACCTTGAGGAGGAAGGTTGTAGAAGGAGCTTGCTGGCAAACTAGATATGTCTCGTCCAGGAGTAGCAATCCACACAGCCGAACCCTCAGTCTGCAGAAGCAAATCCATCAGTCTTAGGAACAAAATATCATTTTATTGCAAAAACAATCAAACAAAAGACTTTTATGTGCTAACAATTAGGGAATACAAGTTTGAAAACCCCCGACATGCATTCTAGGCCCTACAAGTATTCACATTAAGAACAAATCGATCAGTCTTGAGAACAAAATATCATTTTATTGCAAAAACAATCAAACATTACCCATACACCCAAACAAGCATCTTGAACGGGTACTATTGTAAAAAACAAGAAACATCGACATCTCTCAAGATAATGCTGGGAAGCAAGATTAATCGAAACAGAGCACCTAAACTTCTATATGCTGAACCAAAAAAATCAAAGGAACCGATCTGGCCAAATAAGAGTGCATCGGCAGGCTGTACCAAACAAGCTTTCTAAAGGAGGCTATTCTGAATCCTAGATACTCTGCAATCACTGGAATTTGTCATTCTGCATTGTTTATTCAGCTGTTAATCTTAAGTCAGCTGATTTCTTTGTTAAGTTGCTTTACGTACGGGGGTTTGGTACATTATCATTGATCCCATGTGGTCCAAATCATTATGCTGCATTATTATGGCCAGGTAGCAGAGGCTCAAATTACTGCATTCAAATCAAAACAAAGACACCAAAACAAAAGAAGAAAATATGGCAAAAATGGTAGTAGCACATGCAGATTTCAAGAAAACTAGCTAAAGGACAAATGTTCATAGATATATAAATTAAAATGCAAGCATCACATTGATTAATCACCACAATCGCCCACAACTGCAACCAAAAAACAAACACTTATTCAGCAGAAACTGCTGCCAGTCAATATTACCATTACAATCTACGTTTCCACCTCCACCACCCAGGCTCCATAAACACCACCAGTGCTAGCAGTAGGATAAAAGCATCTAACCAACATCGTAATTACAAAACTGGTCCACTCAATAATTCAATAATACTATAGCTTCCAAGAATGAGACTACTGATTATCAAAAAATGACAATAAAATTGACTCCATGGTGCTGCCACCAGCTATGTTTGCATGAGCACCTTAGATTCTACAGTCGACATGAAGAGAATATATAACATTAATAATTAATCATAAAAGATTATAGAGACGGCAATTATTGGCCTACCTGTTGCCCAGTAATGTAGACATTACTTTCCTTGAACTGAGATGCACCAAGATCCTCATTTGTGGTTGAGTTTCCTCCTGTAGCCGCAGAACTGGGATTATAACCAGCAGGAGAGGAGCCATAGGGTCCATAACCACTTGGCATTCCAATGTGAGTTGCATTTCCTGTGTTAGTTCCAGGTTTGTATTGCGGCAGTGAATATTTGACCCCCGTGGCTGCTGCAGATGGTGGTGCATACACGCTGCCAGCTTGAGGTTGCTGTGGGAATGCACCATTGCTTAAGAATTGGTGGATGCCTGGAGGAGGGACATAAAATGGGGAGAAGTAGTGGCCGTATGGGATGTAGTTTGGAGGAAAATGGGATATGTGCAACCCAGTTGGTGGACGAAAGACAGGTACAGGTTGCTGAGTCACAGCAATGGAGCTTTGCATGAGCCCAGATGCTTGAGTCACCAGAGGAGTGGGACCTGCAGTGGATAGAACTAAAGAATTCCCACCCTGCAAATAGTGTGCGCATCGTTAGAATTCTGAAACATGTGAAAATATCTACACACATGCTTGTGTTTGTGTGAAACAGACAGAATCAGGCACTCCATATAAATAGACCCACAACACTAGAAGCTTGTAAAATCACCTTACACTTTTTAGTTGCAAAGTGTCTGGTCCATGCATATAATTATAGTAATTCATACGCAACCAGCCTAACTTGCAGATGCACAAAAGATGATACAGCAAACTGCTAGCTAACATAGGAAACACAATGAAGTTACTACATATTACAACCAGCAGCTAGGTGTGGTGCCTTCAACAGCAAGGGCCTGCAATTGCTATCATTGTTTTGGTCATGCTATTTCATTCCTCTTCTCATAAAGATCAGATCTAGATAAGCTTGAGTGTCTAGTACTCTAGTACCTACAAATCCTTCCTCATCATCACACTCTACTAACTACTAGTACCACCATAATTTTCATAATGATGTACTGAGGTAGATTATGTAGGAGCCCGTGACCAACTTGGTAGTAATATAGCATCATTCTGCATGAGATAGTAGAGCATAGCAATTTCCCTAGGCAGCCAGAATGGCTATCCTTGAACAATATTGCCCCTTGATCTCTTCAACTCTTCCCCAAATCTCAAAGGCAACAATACAAGGCAGCAGTTTGCTAACACAATAACTTGCTTTAAATGTGATGCCAAGCCACTAGGTCATTAATAAAGATCATCCAAATGAGAGCCATGTTCAAATAAGTTAGAAAAGAGAGAATAGAGGGGGATTCAACCTCAGTGAAACTCGGAACTGGGTTCAGTAAATGATAAAAGCTTCCAAATACGACCTTGGACCGCACAGTTAATGCCTTCTTTCTCTTATTGCCCAAATGAATTATATCAGCTCGGAAATTGTATCCACAAACCTCCCATAAATGCCCAACCTTAACACCCCTTTTTATGTAATTCATTCCCTATGTTGACATGATTAAAAGAAACACTAGATATCTGATGTTTAATACCAGCATACTACAAATTGGCAATAACAGAAAAAATTTACTGAGCCACAATCATGCCCTATACTAAAGCTTAGAGTAACTTATGAAAGTTGCTGTGACATGTAAGAGGATCCCTATTCAGTAAGATACTAACTTGAAAATACAACGCAAAATGGTGAAGGAAAAACAAGTCGACCTTTAGCATGAGGACTGCAAAATAAACACATTAATACAGTCACAGGCTAATATATGCATCATACACATTGACAACTGGTAGCGGATAAAATGGTATGTGTTCATGGAATACCCAAACTATGCCCCAGAAAAGTTTAAAACATTCAGCCAACGAAGAGAAAAAATTGAACAACAAAAAAACTATTTCTCGATGCAGAACACAATAAACAAAAATTCAAAAGGTTTTGCTTAAATGCAAAATTAAAGAGAGGATTTTATCTATTGAAACCTCTTGGGGAGACTGAGAAGAATGAGGAGGCAAGACTGCAACATTTCCATTGTATTTGGAAGCAACTCCAGGTGCAGGAAAGGGAGAAACACGACCATCACTATCAGCACTTGAACGATAAACTTGGGCGTAATAACTCGTAGGGTCAAATGGTTGCTGGACCTAGACACAAAAACCATCAAATAACCACCAGAGTGTTAAAGTCAAAATAATAATCTGGTCAATAAATCGAAAACTAATTCAGAAACTTGTCCACGGAACCACAATCATCATAACATGATCTCAAGTTTAGATTCACAAGAAACACTCAATCATGACTGTAAGTGTCAAGTAAAATGTTCATTTTAACGATTACCAGACATCAGCACTTGCACCCATGAAGGAAACATAATATTAACAATTCAGTGTACATAACACAACGAACAAATTTTTGGAGGCTTACCACAAAGCTAGGAAGGCGAGAAACATCACGTGCTTGAGATTCTGAGTTCTCAAATGATGCAATCTGACTACCTATCATTGGAGGCACAAAACCAAAACTGTAGCTAGGAGAAGTATGAACCACCGAGTATGGATGGCCTCCAGAGAGCAATGCAGCCTCCTGCTTGGACTCGTAATCAGGCACTGCGTTCGATGAAACATCACCCTCAGCTGATAAATTTCCAGGGACATGTGAAGGTGGTGATTGTGGATGATCAGGATAAATTCCCTCCTCAGCAGTCACCAGCGTATTTTGATTGCTGAATCCAATAATATAACAAGATGGGTGAGAGAGAGGGAAATACTCTGAAGGTTACAATTGAATTTTTACACAGTATACGCATTAACAAATAGGAAAAATACAAGCTAGTAAAAAAATCAAATTTAAATTTGTTGTACAAAAGCACTCCATAAATATGGAGCAAAAACCTTTTCTTTCAAAACACAGAAACACTTAGGACTGGCTACCAAAACTATTAGGCGGTACATTGGATTACTGCATATCAATTTAGCAACTAAAAACAATAAATAAATAATTTGATACAAAGTACCAATTAAAATGCATTAACTGTTTATTATTGATGTTATTATTATAATCGCTTGAAAGCTAATTAACTCGCTCTAGCTGGACGGGTCAAAAATATACTTCTTTCCTAGGATGATTTGTCAACTGTTCAGTCAACTGCTACACTATCCCACCCACCCCTACCCCTCTTTCTTCTCAAATACATAAGAAGAAGCAAGAAAATAAGGGAGCACAGACCTCGGAACTGAAATGATATTCCAGTTTAAAATCTACCTCTTAAACATGAAATGGAAATAAAAAAGAAAGATGCAAACAAAATCAGTAACTTGGGGGAACTAGGATATACTCAGTAGGACATTCAAAACTAAACCAAAACGCTATTTAGCACAAACCTTTCAGCTTGTTCCTCCACAGGTTCTTCAATACCCTGAGAAGTTTCAGACACAGGTGTAGAACTCTTATCACTCTCTGGTGCGCTAACATAGCTTGGTGTCACTCCAAAACTAGCATCAAAACTTCCAAAACTCAATTTTGTCCTTTCAGATTCAGGAACATGGATATGGTGAGGAATGATAACATGTTGACGCTGTGGAAGATGCAAATCCTCCAGTTTCTTCTGCAGTTTAGCAGTTGCTTCTTCTGAATCAAGGACACCTGATGAAGGCTGTGAATGGCCACTGGCTTCAAGTGGAATACTAGAAATGTCAGATAAACCAGCTGTTCCAGACTCCTGTGCTACATTAGGGTTTGTGGACTTTGGCTTCCACTCCTTATTAGAGCCAGCTGTTGAAGACAGAGGGAGTATTAATTATTAAGGACCCAAGAAAGTAAACTGACTACTAATGACTGTGTAAAGAATAAAACAGAAGACTGGGTACAAGAAGATCTCGTGTGTGTCTCTCCCTGTTTCCAATATTCAGCTGCCTCAAATTATGGTATCTAACTGTTATTTCTCGCCAAGCCAAAAAAGGCTCCTATTTTTAATAAGAAGTAACCAAAAAAAGAACACCATGCAGAAATGTTTTGCAATATTACATGTCAAACTAAAAAGACATGACCTTGAATGCCTGACATTATTGATTTCAGACTTTCAGTTGACAATTCAGATTGAACTATAATGGAACCCACTTCTATGTTTCAAAAAGAAAAACAGCATGTGCCTGATCTACCAATCAATCGAGTAAAAGGAACTAGACCAGGAAGAAGAAGTAGAATAACAAAATATGGAAGCCTATCTGTGGTGTATGTTTTACTGGATTTCAGTTGTATCCATTTCACAGTTCACCTTAAAATTGAACTAGAAATAAATATTCTCAACATTAAGCCTTTAAAAAAAGCTCAAACGAAGCACATGTAAGCAGTCCCAGAACAAACTTGATGCTTCAACCTAAGAATCAACAGAAGATTTAGTATTTCACACTAGTACAAAACTTAACAATGTCAGAACAGGAATGGAAAAAGTACCAGTACAAATTTGTACCTTTTTGAGGGCCGATTATTTGTTGTGACCTGCTACTGTAGTTAGAGGAAGGTCGGCTACCAGAAGAATGGATTGATGCAAATGAAGGTTGGGCAGACTCACTTAGCTGGCTCTTCCCAACTCCTTGGTTTTTGCTTGGTATTTTCCCTTGCATAAAAGGGACATCAATCTCGGAAGCTGTGATCAGTTAATTACAAAACATCACAACAAAGCTAAAAGTGCACAAAATATAATCAACTTAAAAGAAGTCCTAACCTGATTTCTCTGAAGGAATAACTGCGTTTGATTCACCCCCAGTTCGATGGATCCCCACTTCACGTTTAATTGTACCCACTGTACCGGGGGGCGAGATTCATTATAAGGTATTAATACAGGATCTGACGAAGAGAAGCAGACTGTTGATGAAGATGCTGGAGTCACAGACATTGAGGAGTTACTAGAGCTGGGCATAGACTCCGTGCATGTGTCCCCAGTTCCAAATGCAATAGTGGGGGCTTTATCAATATCGATGGACACTGCCCTTCCCACCTTATTAACACCAACAGAAGATGAAGTCACTTCATGTTGATTGCTTCCTGTAGGTAAATTGGAGGTATGCGTTGTACTAGAGTTTCCAGAAACAACACCAGTTGGACCATTGGCCACAACTACAGCCAAGCTGCAATAGATAATTACATAATGTAATAATGCACATTAATAACCTCTTATAAACCATATCTTGAAAAGTGAGATTTATAAATCAAAGTCACCTTGCTGATGGAGTAGTTTCTTTACTTTTCTCTTCTGATGCTGACAAAGAAGAGCCAGTGCCCTTCTCTGCAGCATAGTTGGTTACATTGTCCCTTCCAGCAGAGTTCCTTCCACCACCAGTATCTGACCAAGGATCACAGCCAACAATCAACTTTGCAGGTATAATGCACCTTACTCGTAAAACAAAATATCTGCCATAACTATAGCAACTTATCTAATCCAGTATCACAAATTATAAATAGTTAAGAGAAAAGGGATTCAAGACGATATCAATCAGTAGTATGCATTAGACTTCTAGTATTAAGTTATTCATATGGATATGAATGTTTGTATGTCCATACAATATCTATAAAGATGATAGCCAACAAAATAATACGTGAAAATACAGAAGAATAACCACATAATTTAAAAAGAAGGAAGTAATCCAGCAATTTTAACCTTCAACAAGCTGTTTTTAAAAACAGTTGTTTACCATGTGATGTGTGACGAGGTGAAAAGTTTGCCCGACCGCCCCTACTCCCCCGTCCCTGCATGCCAGACCTCCATCGAGAATCTCCAGACTCTCTGTTGTTTGTATTCTGCTTTAAGGAAATAAATTGCTATTAAAACTCAGAATCTGTATATGAAGCACAAAAATAATGAATACATCTTTCCTACATGCACTTTCATGTAACCACGTGATGAAACTGCCAACCATTTAAACAACATAAATAAGTAACTTCTCAGCCGCCACATCTCTCTAAGGCCCAAACCCCTGCCGCCCGTGAAGTCTATATTGCCTCAATCTCATCTGTTCATCATTAACTTGTAGCCCCTTGATCAATTCCCTTGTCCTAGTCCATTATTTCCCAGAACCCCCTGCTGTAAACCTATAGAAATTGAATAACATTGCCCCACCTTTAAAGTTGTTCTTAAAATTCCCCGGCTTTCACACATCCAATTGCACCAGCAATGCAAATGTTTATAACCACTATATGGATGTTCAAATGCAGAAATCAAACAATATAGAGGCACACACAAAAAAAAATGATGCACTCTTAACGTCCATGATACGGACAGCCCTCGTCTCAATTCAGTAATGTGATAAAACTCTCAAAAAATATGCCAGATTAAGCACGATTGCATCCCAACAACATTATCACACCAATCTATCAAACATGAAAATAACTGCAACAGATTTATTTCAGGTTTATCAAAAAAAAAAAAAAGCAAAAGATTTGGTTGTAATCATTTAGAAGCAAAAGAAGCCAGCAACATGTGAAATTTAAAGAAACGAATAAAGTTACGTCTTTCTTCCGGTCACGCTTCCTTTTGACTTCGTGAAATGGATCTGTAAAACCATAGACATATTTTTAGTCTCGGTTAAAAGGGAAAATAATAATTGCACAGAGAAAATGTCAAGCACTATGCATTAAAATTCATCCTCAGTGTCTCGAATAATAAGAAAAAGAGTTAATAAGCAATTGAAATAAACTTGCAAGATACAAAAATCATAGCAGAAGGTATTTTTCTACACAGCAGTCGTGGCAGAGTGAAACTGGTAAGGGCTAAAAGCCCCATTTGTAAAGTTCACTAAAAAAGTACATCTAATTCTTCTCTTTACCAATTTGAAAACATAAGACAAATCAAAACTTCAAAATGAAAGCAAAGGACAAATCTTTCCTTTCAGAAACAAAAACAATTCGCAAAAAAATAATAATAATAATAATAATAACTATAGGAAAACTTATTAGCCCCACAAGTCTTCGAAAGTTGAAAACAAAACACAGTTAAAACCCCACAGAATAAAATTAAGAAAATCCCGCATTTCCCATAGACCGAATTCATAACCTAGAGAGAGAGAGAGAGAGAGAGAGAGAAACCAAATCTTTAACGACGGATCGCATCAAAACCATAAAAACCCACAAGGTGTAAGACAATGAGCTAGGGAACAAGAAAACCCACAAGGCAGAATGAAAAAGACGAGGAGGAGAGACCTTGAGAGAGAAGCTTTTGAGCGGTTTCATTGGGATCCATAGAGCACTCCTTGAGCATTGCATGAATCTCCTCATCACTGTGATTGCCTGTGATCTCCTTTATGTTCTGGATCATCTTCCTCACGTTGCTCGGAATTGAAACCCTAGCTCCACCACCGCTCATCTTCACTCTCACCAACGCCAACACCAACAGCAACTCCCTTCCTCCTTATAAATATAAATATATGGGTGGAAAAAAATAAGTATGCACTACTTATAAATAAATAATAAATATTAAGTGTGTTTATTTTTTATATTAGTAAATAGGAGGTAGCTAAGAGAGATTGTGAGGGTTTATAAAGGGTTGATTGAGAGAGAGAATTGGTTGAAGTGTGATTTTGGGTTTTGATTATGATTTTTTGTATTTTTGAATTGATCTAAAGAGGTGAAAAGAAGAGGAAGGAGTAGAAGAAGAAAAGAGGGAGCGGAAAAGAATGGGAGGGAGCAAAATGTATGTCTAGTGTGGCTTGCTGTAGTAGGGCTTTTTGGTTTCTTACTTTTTATTACCACCTTTTTAGGAAAAATCTAAATCTAGCCCCTAATGTATCTCAATATGATCAATTCAGTCATAAATCTTTTATGTTTACTAATTTTACTTTAAACAGATGTATATTAGATAATGTCACCCCTCGGGTCCTTTATTGGCCGTGATGGTCAAATTTCAGTCCAATGTGTACATATTCATCAAGTGTTTATGTTCAAAAAATCAAGAACATTGAATATACCATGGCTTTAGCGTGAAATTATAGTAAATCATTAGCTCATCCATAAGAGAAATTTACTGTAATATGATACTAGAATTACATTATATTAGAGTTTATCTTGACATCCTACGAGAATGCTTTAATAAGCATGTAAAGATTTAACTCAATATTAATCATTACTACTATTGGATGAATTCGGGGATGACGTTATCTAATGTCTATTATTTTGAGGTAAAATTGATAAAATCAAAATATTTGAAACTCGATTGATAATATCATAATGCGTTACAGAGTTAGATTGAGCGTTTTTTTATTTTTTATTTCCATAAAAGAAATATGTACAAGTGGATTTATTATTCAGCCGATTGAAAATATGATGTTTTTCCCACCTCCAAGCACATAATATCTTAAATCAAAGTATTGGAATATGTCATTTTGCTAAGCAATCACCGATAAGATTAAGACCTCGTACTAGATAAATTTTCTTGTTATCATCGAAAAAAATCTTATATGCATATTTGTAACTTATTGATTGGGTAAAACTTTTTGTCTAAATGGGTAAAACTTGCATACTTCGAGGGCTATTTTAGTGTATCGTTTTTCATACTTGCAATATACATTTTTAAAAATTTAATCGGGTTTTTAACTCTTATTGTTAAAAATCAACAATTAACTTAAAGAGTTGGTTGGGTGGTTAAGGAGATTTGTTTCTTTCTTTAACATCTTAAGTTTGAATTTTTATACCAACACTTAAAAGCTATTTTTGTGAATGCACTAAACCAATATGGGAGATACGTATTTAAAATCGTTTAAGAATGAGACTCGGTTAACTTATTTGAGTAAATTATTATTTGATCCTTATGTTTTTAGTGAAATAGTTGGTTAATCTTTGTAGTTTAAAAAAAAAAACAACAAATATTGAGTCCTATTACTTTTATATTTGTTTGTGACTTGATTCTTTTGTTGGTTTTTCTCAACAGTTTAATTGTTTTCTTTCAAATATTCTCCATTTCAGTTCAAATTTTCAAATCTCACATATTACATAAATAATTAAAAAAATCTTTACAAGAGTGATTTAGAAATTTCAAAGAGAATTAACAATCAACTTTGGTCGAGAGAGTAATTTATGATTTTTAAAACTAGAAAACAAACTAATTTATGAAATCATAAAAAACACACGAAGTAATGTATTGCAACATTATCGATTCAATCATAAATCTTTTACGTTTATTAATTTTGCTCCGGACATGTGTATATTAGATAATGTCACCCTTTATTCCATTCATTCGTAGTGATGGCTAAATTTCCATCCAATTTGTATGTATTCATTAAGTGTTTATGTTCAAAAAATCAAGAACATTGAATATACCATAGTTTGAGCTTCAAATTATAGTAAAGCATTAGCTCATGTTGAAGAAAAATTTACTATAATATGATGTTAGAATTACGTTACACTAGAATTTATTTTGACATCTTGCGAGAAAGCATTTAATAAGTATGTAAAGATTTAACTTAATATTAACTATTACCACGATAAATTTTATATTACTTATAGAGTAATTAGTGTAAGTTATTTTATAAGAACGAGATAAACACAAAGAGGAGAGATAAATAAGAGAGAGAAAATTAAAAAAAATTAAGCTTGGGTGAAAATCTTCTTATCATTTTTAGTAAGTTTGGATATAATTTTTTCTTTCATTTTTGTGTCTATCTTTCTCTTCGAAGTGGACACATAGAATAATTATTGTGTATATACAATAATTATTCAAAAAATAAATAACATGGAATATACCATAGTTTGAGCTTCAAATTATAGTAAATCATTAGCTCATGCTTGAAGAGAAATTTACTATAATATGATGTTAGAATTACGTTACATTAGAGTTTATTTTGACATGTTGCAAGGAAGCATTTAATAAGCATGTAAAGATTTGACTTAATATTAACTATTACAACGAGAAATTTCATATTACTCATAGAGTAACTAGTATAAGTTATTATATGAGAAAGAGATGAACACAAAAAGGAGAGATAAATAAGAGAGAGAAAATTAAAAAAAAAATTGAGTCTATGTGAAAATCTTCTTATCACTTTTAGTATGTTCGGATATAATTTTTTCTTTCATTTTTATGTCTATCTTTCTTTTCAAAAGTGGACTCATAGAATAATTATTATGTATATACAATAGTTACTCTTTAAGTATTTTAAAATTTCTCATTTCACTCTGCTAGTGGATAAACCAAGGGATGACATTATCTGATGTCTATTACTTTGATGCAAAATTGATAAAATCAAAATATTTGAAACTCGATTAATAATAAGATAATACGTTACGAGTTTAGATTAATGGTTTTTTATTTCCATAAAAAAAAATTACATATAGATATATTATCCCGCCAATTGAGAATATAGTGTTCTATAGTGTTCTTCACATCTTTGACACATAATATCTTAAATCAAAATGTTAGAATACGTCATTTCACTAAGTAGTCGGTGATAAAATTAATACCTCATACTAGATAAATTTTTTCATTACCATCGAGAAAAACCTTATATGCTTATTTATAATTTATTGATTGGGTAATTTTTTTTTCTGCATGTATTAAACTTGCATACTTCAAAGGCTATTTTAGTGTATTTTTTGTTGTACTCACTCTTGCCTAATGTACATTTTAAAAAAAATAAAATTAATCTACTTTTTTTAACTCTTATCATTGAAAATCAACAATTAGCAAGGAGATTTGTTTCTTTCTTGAATTCTTAATTAAGTTTGAATTTTTAGACCAACTCTTAGAAATTATCTTCATGAATGTATCAAACCAATGTGGAAGATATGTCTTTAAGATCATTTAGGAATGAAACTTAGTTAATTTATTTGAGTAAATTATTATCTGATCCTTGTGTTTTTAGTGAGATACTTAATTTTTCTAGTTAAAAGAAATATCAAATATTGATTCCCAATATTTTCATGTTTGTTTGTAACTTGATTTTTTTTGTTGGTTTTTCTTAACAATTTAATTTTTTTTTCAAATATTCTCCATTCTATTCAAATTTTCAAATCTCATATATTACATAAAAGATTAAAAATGCATTTATAATAGTAATTTAGAAATTTCAAAGAGAATTAACAATGAACTTTGACCAAGAGATTAATTTATGATTTTTAAAACTAGAAAAAACTAATTTATGAAATCATAAAAAACATAACAACTAAAATATGATCAATCAAGTATCTTAACGACGTAAGTGTATTCATTTAATGTCACAAACTTTTGACGTAGATACAAGTACGAGGCAGGTATTATGGATTCACATATCAATAAGTATGAGATTTGATTGTGACTTTTTATGTCGAGTATATTAAATGAAAATCACCAAATGCCCTCGTACTATCTATCTTTGATCATTTTAACTTCTTTATTAATTTACGATGCAATTTAAATCTTGTACTAAAAAGTTGAGATACGTTAGTTTTTTGATTGTCTAATTTCATTATGTTAATCAAACTTCGTTAATTGGCTAACGTTTATCCACTCATACAATAATATGTGTCAATTAATGTTTGAAAATGTAATTTCCACTCGATAATCATTTTCTCAAAATTAGAAATGGTTAAAAATTAACTAGTTGCTATAAAAATTATAAATAAAAAAGAACCGAACTTCTTAAACATGCTAATTGAGTTTTCTTATATATTTTCTATTGTCACAATTAAATAATAATTAATTATTTTTTAATTTATTTTAAGAAAATGATTGTCTATCATGAATTACATTTCAAGTATGGATTGGCCTCTGTCGTCACACGAGTAGGTAGATATTAGTCGACCAATAAAATTTGATTAATTAAAAAGAATTGAGTAACAAAAGGATTGACTTGCCCTAATTTTTTTTAGCACGTGATCTGAGTTGTAGAAAAACTAAATAGAAAAGTTAAAATTACCAAAAACCGATAGTACAATAATACAAGATATGTGCCCTAATTTTCACCGAATCTACGTAATATTTGTCAATGGTATTCGACTATACAGTTTTCTAAATAGAGTGATGTTCTCACCACTAGCATCTCTTAACAATACCAGCATGGTGATAAGAAAACATTTCCTCTCAACTAAAAAATAAAATAAAAGATGCTTACCGTCAAAAAGAATAATGTTATATACACAATTTTTTTTATATAAAATTTTAGAAACACTTTGTGATAATTAATTTTATGATGGAAGATCAATTATTTAAATTCACAAAATCTATCCTTAATATAAAATGTCTGTTTGTATTTAATTTTGCCATAAAAAATTTATGTATGCTTCAAAATTAAAATTACTTATAGGAAGATAAAAATGTAAAAGTTTGTTGACTTTTATTGAATTATAAGCAGTATAAAAAAAAAAAAAGATTAAAGTGCACAAGATATTGAACAT